AGCAGTAATAACACTCTGCAACACTGCAGTACTAAGCAGTAATAACACTCTGTAGCACTGCAGTAATAAGCAGTAATGACACTACAGCAATGTGATAATAAGCAGTAATGACACTGCAACACTGCAGTAATAAGCAGTAATCACTCTACGGCAATGTGGTAATAAGCAGTAATAACACTCTGTAGCACTGCAGTAATAAGCAGTAATGACACTTCCCGGTCCTCTGCCCACCTTGCCCAGGGTGCGGAAGCTGGTCACGGAGTTCGAGCCGGACGTGCACGAGGTGTCCCGGATCTTCCGCTCGGTGCTGCGGGACTCCCTGGAGGAGGAGGAGGAGAGGGAGGAGCGCCGCCTGCAGAGCCGCTGGGAGAAGCGGCGGAGCAAGAGCCTGTCGCTGGTCTCCTTCAAGTCCCGCCTGCGCGTCAACCCCTTCCGGGGCGCGGGCTCCGCGCTGCCCGAGGACGAGCTGTGGCGCGGCGAGGAGGAGGCGGGGCTGGGCCTGGCGCGCAGGGTGCGGAGCATGCCCGAGATCACGCCCCTCGAGGAGAGGGCAGCGCAGTCCTGAAGGCGCTGGCGACGCTCTCGCTCGGGGTCGGGGGTTAGGGGTCAGAGGTCGGGGGGTTGGGGGTGAGGGGTCAGCGGGTGGGGGGGCGGGACCTCCTCTCCAGCTGGCTGCACGGTCCGCGTGCAGCAGGGAGGGGAAGTCCCGCCCCTGCAGGCGTCTCAGGTGTTTCCCAATTAGCAGCTGACGGGGCCCGGAAAGCAGCGGCTCTGACTTCTCATCCCAGCAGTCCGTCGAGCCACCATGAACGGTCCTGCGCGTGCTGCAGCCCCTTCTTCCCCAGCGTGAGCCCCTGGGTTACCTGCTCAAGGGGTTAATCGAACAGGACGTTCAGGGCGCCGGTCGCTCCAGACACCAGCGATGGAAACGATCGCAGGGGGCTGTAGAGGACCCCCCCCGCGCCCCAGAACCCCCACAGTAACACGAGACTGTGAGCAGGCTGGCAGGTGGCTATGGAAGAGCTCGTTAAGGGCTGATTGACCCCCCGTCCCCCTGAGACCAAGCCTGCACTGACGCCCCTCAGGGCTGGGGATCGAGGGCACCCCCTTCTCCTCTCTGGGCAAGGGGTGGGAATTTTACAGATGTCAATAACGAGATGCTGTTGAAAATAAAGGAAATAGTTGAAATAAATGTATTTACTGAGCTCCGAGTCCTTTGTCCTGCCTCACGCTCCCAGCAGCTGGATCTCAGCGTCTGCTCCTGTAAACAGGCCGCTGGCCCAGCAGGACTCCTCCGCCGGTCACTGGCCGGAGCCACTCGCCCCGCTGACCCCAGACAGCCACAGGGGGAGCTGTGGTTCAGCAAACCCATACTGGGCTACCGACCCAACCGAGACTGGGCTCGGCCATCTCTGAATACAAACCCTACTGGACACTGTGACCCTGACTGGACCGGCGATCTCTGGACTGTAGGGGTACAG